TTATTATTATTATTATTGTTATAAAGTTTATTCATTTAAAACAAAATTATTGACAAAGATATTTGAGTTCTACAGGGTTATAGTTCTGCCTAAAAACTTTCTGAAAGTTAATTTTGTGTCAAGGAAAAAATAAAATCTGAAAATTTCCTTTTTCCTGCTCCCCATTTCTGTGTGAACAGACAGCTTCCACCTGCAATGCATCATGGGACTGGGTGGGTGAAGAAGGATGATTTCAGTTCTAAGCATGTTTATATGTGCAGACACCCTTTTTCAACCAGATGATTCTCAGTGGAGCTGTTTAAGCCAAATGAGAGAATTAACTTCCTCACTTTTCTGTATCAACACACCTTCAATGCTCTGACCAATCAAACCAGGCGCATAGGCCTGGGAGGAAAAACTGGTGCCAGGAGCTCAGGCACAGAATGAGGTTTTACAACACCAGCAAGAGCAAAAAGACATTGTTTTTGACCTCCAACTACATCAATGAGGAAACCTCTTGACATCTTGTGTTGTATAAATAAGCACTAAACCCCAGTTTATTTGTTAAACTGTTATTGTGAAGGGTTGAAAAAAGTTCTTAGTTCTGAGTGATAAACCGGACTGCTTCAAATCAAATACTGCATTTTATTTTGTAGCAAACAGTAAAAAAGACCCCCAGAGACAGTATTAAGAACCAATGGGATAAATCCAGTCTGGTTCAGAAGAACAATGAAGTTTGTTTCTATGGTTTATTTATAATAAAACTGTCAATAAAATTACTACTTTTATCTCAACATTTTAACTTTAATCTCAAAACTAAAAGCCTAACGATCAAACATAAACCAATGGTTTTTCCTAATCTGTGGTTGTGTTGATGAGTTGGACCCAGCACCAGTACTTTGACCACAGGTGAATCATTTCATTAAGCAGGACTATGAAGCATCTCCCTGTCCTGACCTGTGTGAGGTACCGGATCTGGGCGCTCAGCTCGCTCTCTATGCGGTTGATTGAGGTCTGGAACTGGACCAGCTGTCTGTCCAGGAAGCTGGCGTTGTGTTTGTCTTTGGACAACTCCAGGACGATGTTTCCTGCAGGGACAAGCAGAGAGCAGAGGCAGGATTGTCACGCATGTTAGGACTAATTGGGCCTCATGCAAGAACATGTTCGTATTCTTCTCCTAAATTTCTCTTACTTTTGTTCGTACAAAGGGC